TATCAATTGTTGAATTTATTTCACGATATAAATCAATATCACGATAATGATTACAATTTGAACAAACAAGTTGTGGTACAATAAATGATTTAAAGATGAAAGATTTGTTGTTGTCATTTCAGAATATCTAAACAAAAACATATTTATAAATGAGAGAGATAGAAATAAAGCAATGAAAACTTTTTGTTTTTGATTAATTTACTCGCTAAGTTTAAGTAATTTAAGTAAATCTCGTCGAAGATTCATAACATCATCATGCATATCATGCAAAAGAAATAGAAGACAACAAACAGATTTAACAAATTCAAGTGCTGGACTTGTACTTGATAATGGTGTTGGTAATGTTAAATCAAAATCACTTTTTGTTAATTTTCGTTCTATTTTATTTGTTATAGACATTAATTGTTGATAAAGTTCATCAGTAAATAAACCCCTACAATACTCAAGAACTTTGACTGGTAAATTTGTTTGTGTTACTGATGTTGCTTCTTTATATTCATCACGAAGACGATCGTATATTGAACGAGCAAAACCAATCCTTAAATAGAACATAACAGCTTATTAGAGCAACCCGTTTAAGAATTCAAATGTAGATCAATTAAGACATTAGTTCTACGAAGACATACAATGTAAAACTAATATAACTTTCGAGGTTTCTAATAGTAACAACTCCTATTGAATAACATTTATATTATGATACGGTTTCGTTACAGTTGATAAGTTTGATTTATTCTTATTTGAAATGATTATTTCACAAAACTGAAAGGTATATTTCGATTCTTAAAAGGATACTATATATTTTTGCACAATTACATGATGATACTGTTTGACAATAGAATGGAATTTTTCTGTTATTTCGTAATGAAAGCATGAACTGGAAATGACTAGCTATTGAAATTTGATGAGAGTTGGTGACAAGTGCATTCTGAATGTTGAGATGGAAAATCTTTAGTTTAAATCGAAATTAGCTTCTAATACCTGATTAACTTTCCGTGAGCATAATAAATTTCTTCAGCATGATCCGAAGCTCTCATCATATGACGACTGAAAATTTGTCAGTTGGAAATTTCCAGGGGGTCATCTCTTGATCACTAAAACTAGCAGAATAGGTCAGCTTTAGTACCATAAAAAAAAAATCAATAAAAGAGAATTGGCCGGTCCAGTAACGATTTGTTAATCCAGTTCGAATTATGCCACATTGCTATCCATGGGGATAAGATGAATGAGTCGTAAAATCTCGACTTAAAACTTACACTTGCAATATTTTTCTTTGAAAAATGTAAAGTGAGTTCCACAAGAAAAGGATATTACTTAGTTCCCATTTTAAACCACAAATCTTTTATAATAATGGCTCATAAAAAACAAAAAATTTCTTACATAATAGTTTCGAAATAATCTTGAACAACTCGTGGTAAATAAACAATCATATTCCAATCAAAAATAGTTTCTTCTTCATCATTATTATCATCAATTTGTCCTTTTGCATTTGACCATATTCGAAATTCACAATAATTTTTATCATCAAACCACCATAAACAATGATAAATAGATTTTAATTCTAAACATATTGTTGATGTTAAATCTTTTAATTGAAGATGTTCAAGAATAACTTTAATATATAAACGTGTATCAATAAGTGACCAACGTTTTGTTGCTAAAATAATTTTATTTAAATTTCCATATATTGTTGTACTACCAATACGTTGTA